AGCCCTCCAGGTGGTTTGGCCTACAACTCCCATGATCCCTAGCTAACAGGACCAGCGGTCAGGGATGATGGGAATTGTAGGCCAAAACATTTGCAGGGCCGAAGGTTGGGGATGCCTGCTCTAAACCCTTTTCCAGACATGATTTGCTTTGCTGGCTGTTGTTGCCACTGCCTCACATCTTTAAGGAATTGTGACTTTTAACCAGACCCCACCTGTTGACATAGACACATGTAAAGGGGATGGGGAAGATTCACCTGGTACATTTCCTGGTCTGTCGGCCTGCTATTAGACACAAGAGGAAGTCTAGGAAAAATACCAGAAAACAAAATACCAGAACGGACAAGCCTTTATCCACCAACCCTGGCCATATGCCCGGGGGGGGGGGGGGTTGCTGTTCTGCCTGGAACAAACCCACACAGGATTTGCCTACATAGTGTAAATCAACCTGTAAAATTAATCTCCTCACATCCATACCTTCATGTCCGATTTAAGACCTTGAGGAGGCCTCGATGTTCCTAATGCTTGACTAGAAGGGGAAATGTCACCTGCTTCCTCCCACATTTAAGTTCTACATGCTACACCTGGCAGAATTTCATTTTCAGGCAATGCTTAAAGATACAGATGGACCTCAGGTCTGGCCAGCCAATGAGCTCCTGGTTCAGTGTCCTTCAGCTTCCCCCACTTCCTTCTGGTCATCACCTCAGGGCTCCTTGTGACCTTGGTTCCTATGCGAGACTTTGCCCAAGCCTGTTATAACTTTAGTTTCTCCTTCCCTAACTTCGAGACTTTGCAGCCTTGTTTCCTCAGGCCTCTGCTTTTAGGTGCATGATATACCGTATTTGCCTACTGTTCCTTTCTTCCTTCAACCACCCTGACAGGCCCAGCCTCTCTGTTGTCCTTCCCCCATCAGCAGCATACTCCTTGCTGTCTTGTGCGTTTCCTACAACCATCTCCTCCAAATAGTCCCTCCTCAACCTGCTGGCTCCTTTGCCATTCTTCTCCACCTGCCCAGCTGCGACCTACACCCACAGACCCACATTTCTTGATCAATTGCCAACTCTACATTTTTCTATCAGGCACCTGCCCAGGCTTCCTGGATTTAGCTTCCTTACCTTTTTCCACGCATCTTTCCGGTCATTCTTCTTACTTCAGGACCACTAAGAGGCAGGTACAGATGCCCCAAACTGAGCTTTCTTTAAAAAAAGAGACATGTCTCTCGTCTTCCTAGAAATGTAGTTCTGCTTCGGCCTTTTACCATTCTGCTCCATATGCTTGCAGCAGTCAGTTTTGTCATGGTTAACAGTATTTCATATTTATAGGGCCAGACTTGGTGTGCATATATTGATTGTAAAATGATGTTGGGGGTAGGGAACAAACCCCATAACCTTCCTTTGCTGCACGTAACATCTTTTTGCCATTCCCCTCTAATCACCGGAGTAAAGTTGGGAGAAAACAACTAAAACCAGCAGACCCCAATAAAGAGAGTTTTGTTCCCATGCCTAGTGCACTTTTGATAAAAGGGTAGCCTCACTCCCTGCTTGATGTATAAATTCAATCCATATTTGGCTAATTTTATTCGGCCTTTTCCTGCTAGTTAACCTTTGCCCACCTCATCTTTTCTCTCTGATCATCCATGGACTTCTCTCTTCACTTTCAGGCTGTCCATTTTCATTAAGCCATAAACCTCCAATGCTTTTATTAATAAAGTCACACGTTCTCCGATGCAAATGGTTCTGCTCTACATAAGGAGGGGAACACAGGTGGGAACTAGCTTGAGGGCCATATTGTGTACAGTGGTAAGGTAAAGGTACCCCTGCCCGTACGGGCCAGTCTTGTCAGACTCTAGGGTTGTGCGCTCATCTCACTCTAGAGGCTGGGAGCCGGCGCCGTCCGCAGACACTTCCGGGTCACGTGGCCAGTGTGACATCGCTGCTCTGGCGAGCCTGCACCAGCAGGAACGCTGTTTACCTTCCCGCTTTAAAGCGGTACCTATTTATCTACTTGCACTTAAGGGTGCTTTCGAACTGCTAGGTGGGCAGGAGCTGGGACCGAAAGATGGGAGCTCACCCCGCCGCGGGGATTCGAACCACCTACCATACGATCGGCAAGTCCTAGGCACTGTGGTTTTACGCACAGCGCCACCCGCGTCCTGACTGTGTACAGTGGTACCTCGGGTTAAGTACTTAATTTGTTCCGGAGGTCCATTCTTAACCTGAAACTGTTCTTAACCTGAAGCACCACTTTAGCTAATGGGGCCTCCCACTGCCGCCACACCGCCGCAGCACGATTTCTGTTCTCATCCTGAAGCAAAGTTCTTAACCCGAGGTACTATTTCTGGGTTAGCGGAGTCTGTAACCTGAAGCGTATGTAACCCGAGGTACCACTGTACTAGGCAACCTTTCAAGGGCTATATGACAGAGTGGGGCGGAGAAATAAACGTAAATTTGCCATGGTACAATACAGGCCTCTCCATCTAGAGAAGCAAGAGACATTATTTATAATTGAAATATACAATCCTGTCAGGCAAAAACACCTGGAGTCCAAAGTAGGACCAGTGAAGGGTGAAGCCTAGGAAAAGGTTACAACAGTCTAAGAGCCATTTGCCCCTAAGCCTGACATTCCCCATCAGCTGGGCAGTCACCTCCAAGAGGCCAGTGGTTCCACTATTCGCTTCACTGCAGAAAATGTGGGTTCTGTAATGGAATGAGGCCTGAAGTTGATAACAAAGTCCCTTGTCTAGAAGATGCACTTTGTATGCACTTTCATGTGAAATATATAGTTTATATCATATTTGATGGGTATACTTGAGTTATAGCAAGGAGGTGCTGTACAATTTTTGCAACTGCCTCCCATCTTTGCCCTATAAGGTCCTTGCTGCTTGTCAAAAAGACAAGCCACTTTTGTCCCTAGAAAGGTAAAATGCTCGAGGGCTCATACTTACGGAAAAGCCATTTACGGTAAGTCAGATTGCACAGATATGTAGCATACGATTAATATAGTCAATTCCTATAACAAGGGCTGGCAGATACCTAAAACCACCCAGCATGTTGCTTCAGCCACCATCATCAATTCATCCATTTTTTATTTACAATCTGTGTAGCTCGGAAGTGCCACAAAGAGGTTTAAGATTTCTCTCCTGTGACCCCCAGGTGGCAGCAAAGAAAGATCTCCTGCTATCAGGCTTTGAGAAGACTAAAGTTTAGAGGAACCCTTATCATGAAAAGGCATACCTTCAACGCCCAAGTTAACTTATTGTAGACTATTCTTCCCAAATCTCCCTATATCCATTGCTAATCAGCAGACCTTCTAATGATAGCAAGCTAGTTAATGGATCATCACACCTACTTGTAGTTTATCTCACAGCAGCCCAGTTGTTCGCAAGGCAGAAATAAGCTTGCAGGCTCAGCAGATTTTGCCTACAATAAAAAGTCACCTAGAGTGTTTTCCTCCTGCCTCTCACCCCCTTCACCCCACCATTTCTTGGAATGCTGCCAGTGTTTTCGAAAGCTGCTGTGTTCTGTTCCAGAGATCTATACAGATTCTAAACTGCAAACCCATAAACATTTGAAGGAGGAAGGAGAGAATACTGTATATGTGTGTACACACACACACGAATCACATCAGCACTGGATATTTGTGAGGACTGTACATTTGTTTTAATAGCTGAAAACATTTACACAGTTAACTGTAGAAACAGCAGGTTCATGAAGCATTTTCCTCATTTTTGTCAAAAACATTCAAATAAAACCCGATCCAAATGGAACATGAAAAACACGAAAGCTAATATGGAGCCAAGGAGGAGCTGAGGGTTGCTATCATTAACAACAAAATTCCAAAAAGGAAACAGAAACACTGAATGAGGGAAGTTTAAGTATGCCATATAGCAAAACATGAAGTGATGCAGAGCAGGGAAGTCCCTACAGCAACCAAGTCCTTGCACATGGGAGCAATTCAGGCATGAAATGCGGGCAGAAAGCAGTGAAACATCTCAGAAGAATGAACAATACAGTGGGAGCTATTCTGGGCTTGCAAGGCATCAAGTACCCCCGTAAGTGCCAATGGGAAGTTAGGCTGCTTCAAGTCTATGGGTAGCTACAAGATATTCTGCCACTGCATCCTGGGTGCTTTGAGAAACCCATCGATTCATATAAAGGATGCCATCTTTATATATGCCCGCAATCACCGCTAGCCTGCAAACTCAAACTTTAGTAAGTCACGTATGTTGAACCTGCTCTTTCCAGGGCTACAATGTCAACTGTCCATTCCTAATCAATTCAGAAGAAAAGGTAATATTTAATTTTGTGCTCTGGAACGATTTCCAGCTTACTGTTTATCACAGCAACAGAGCTCAGATAAAGCCATACCTAGGAGCCTGGATTTCTGGCTTCCTACAGCAAGAAACAGTGTACAAAGATACATGATGCAGGCTGACAACAGTCTCTGCTCTTTGTGGAGCTAGTACAGTTTTAGAGTCTTTGCCCCTTTCTTTGAGCAAAGCAAAGCCACTCTTCACTTCACCGGGAAGCCCCTGGGAGCTTAGCTGTTTTCCCCTCTCTGCACCAACCACCACAGGATGAATTCTGTGTGACTATGCAAAAGCAGCGCTTCCAAGGTGGTGAAATGTGCTCAGCTACAAAACTCACAAGGGACTGGTGGGTGGCTACGTGAGGATGGACAAGCTGCAAAATAGATACAACATACATACAAAGGCTATGAGATTACGATACTCTCCAAACTGCTTTGTTAGCATCCCTGAGCCCTGCTGTCTTCTGAGGGGGGGCAAGCGCCACGTATTCCTGTGTGAGGACAATTGTGAACCCAAGCTACGGTCCTCCCCTCTGTGGCGAGATGAGGTTTCCGGTGGCTTTTCAGATCCGCACCTGAAATCAGTTTCATTCTCTCTTCCGCACGTTAACCACCTCCAACGAGAGGGGAAACAGATCCCGGTAGTGACCTAGGGAAAGCACAGACTGAGCAGAGACACTTCCCTTGGAAGTGGGTTAGTGGGGCATGGCTGTTATCCTCATGCTCTGGGAGGCTATGGGGTATGTCACCATGGGGGTGGTGGCGTGGCTCATGGTGATGCCCCCCAGTGGCTGAGCCATGGACACGGCCACAGGCGCTACGGATACGGCCACAGGAGCCATGGAGACTGGTGGAGCCATCCCCTGGGCTATGGTCTGAGCCAGCGCTGCTGACAGCGGGGTGATTTCTGGGTTCATGGGAGGCGCTGCGTTGCTAGGGGGAGCTGCCTGAGCTCCAGCTGGAGCCACCAAATCCTGCTGGGACACAGGCCGTGGCTGCAGAGCTTGGCTGCTCAGGGTGGTGTGAGTCTGGGCAATGCTGTGGTTGTAGTTGGTGACGGTGCCCACGGTGGGTGCCAGAGTCTGCTCAGTAGCCGGGGCCGTAGTGCTAAGTGTTATCACCTTGGCCTGGTTGCGGAACTGGGCGTTCTGTTCCAGCAGGACCTCGTTGGTGGCTAGGAGGTTGTTGACCTGCTTCTTGAGGTCCTCCACACGTTTGCGGAGCATGATGTTCTCCTCTTCCAGGAGCCGGTATTCCACCGTGCGAGGACTGGTGAAGTTGTACTCGTAAGTCTCAAAGTGGAGCCCGTCTACCCGCCGCCGCTTCAGCACAGGGTCGTGGTCATCGAAGCACCGGTCAGAGTCGTACATGGGGTCATAGGGGTCGTATCGGCGCACAGGAGTGGTGATGCCCTGTTCCCGGGTGGCCAACCCCCGGCCGTCGTACTCATAATCCCGCTGAAGGTGCTGGAATTTACATTTGGCCCCGCGCTGACAATCCCCCTTGAGAAAATCCCTGCAAATGGGGACTTCCTCCTTGCTGTTGGGGAGGTCGGCTGGGGAAAGGCCAAGCCCAGCTGCCACTTTCTGGCGAAGGCGTGGGGGTAGCTCCCCCGTCTTTTTGTAGCAGTCTTCGTCTTCCTTGGTGCCATGGATGAAGCGGCAGTTGATGCGGACGCACTCCTTGTTCTGGAAGTCGTGGCAGAAGATGAACTCGTTCTTGCTCACTCCCAGGTTGGTCACCTCGTTCATGTCGGGGTGGCGGAAACGGCAGCGCTTGCCCCGCTTGCAGACATTGCGTAGGAAATCCCGGCAGATGTCATCGGAGTTGGCACTTGCCTCATCGCTGCCGCTCCCACTGCCATTATAAGTGTTGTCACGGTCAGGCATTTTTTCGTGGCCTTGTGCAGGCTGGGGGACCCAAAATCAGGTTACTGTGCAAGTACAAGAGAACAAGTAAGAAACGCAAGAGGGAAACCTGTCCCGTTAGATGATGATGATAATAATAATAATAATAATAATAATAATAATAATAGATTACTTCAGACTGGGAAGAGAACACACGATACATCAAACAACACTTTGTATCAGATCCAAATATTTTATAGTCTATATATACATGTATATCCTCTCAACTATCAGAAAGAAATGACTTATTTGCTTGGACTGAATGGCTTCAATACTCCTTTTAGTTCCTCCTCATACTTTCCCCTATCTTTTTGGAACAGATGATCAGAACTAAACACTGCACTCATCTCAGGGTGGAACTATATTACTGGCCTATATAAGGGCATTACGTTTTTGCTGCAGAGAAGGGGAACAAAACTGAATGAGAGTTCTAAACGCTTACCCAAGACCACAAAGGCAATATGATCCAACAATTGAAAAAGATGCTGCTATTTACTTTGTTGGATGATCAAGCATAGATTTTATTAAGTCTGCGGCTGCCTGCATAGGATCCAATTAAATTTCAAGGTAGTTTAGGATGCAAATGCAACATAACCTCAGATGGATTACATACCCCTTTAACATTTGAAAGTAAGGTAAAAAAGGGTAAAGGTAAAGGACCCCTAGATGGTTAAGTCCAGTCAAAGGCAACTATGGGGTTGCGGCACTCATCTCGCTTTCAGGCCGAGGGAGCTGGCATCTGCACACAGACAGCTTTCCAGGTCGTGTGGCCAGCATGACTAAACCGCTTCTGGCGCAACGGAACACTGTGACGGAAACTAGAGCGCATGGAAATGCTGTTTACTTTCCTGCTGCAGCGATACCTATTTATCTGCTTGCACTGGCATGCTTTTGAACTGCTAGGTTGGCAGAAGCTGGGACACAGCACCTACTCTATTCCATGGACTCAAAGCAGCTCATAATAGTTTTTCTAAATCTTAACAGTCTTACCCCCGAAGGGTTCACACTCTGAGAAGTAAAATAAGGGTTTAGCAAGTATGAAAACAGAAGGTGTCATTAAGGTAATTAATAAACACAGGGTAAAATCTAGTGATATTTTTTTCTTCTGCGTAGTTTTGTAGTTATGCACTACTACTTATTATTTCAATATGCAAAACAGTGAGCTACAGCCTAACTACTTCACAAAGCTTTATTTTTAACCATAGTAATGAACGTCAGCCATTCACTTATACGGTAAATAAAGGGATACACTCAATGATGCCATATGAATAGGAGCTACACTCTGTCCCTGGTAACCACTGGGTGATATCCAATTAAAGCATAATCAAAGCAGACCCACTGATTTAATGTGCCAGATTGAGTTCTACACACTCATAGAGCAGAACAGATATTTATACTGAGGGATTTTTCCCTAATCAGATGTACAGTCTGCTGTGGCACAGCCCAGACCAAGGTTTACCAAATGGCTGAGAACTATTTGTGTGTGTAGCTTGGTTTATGGCAGGCTGCTGTTTTACAAGGAAGGAGTGAAGCTAAAACAAAGAAAATGAATGACTGCAATTCTTTGAATCTTGAAATCAACAAGGATTTCAACTTGCTACACGTATACCCAACATTCCTAGCAATGCTTAGAAATAATTCTTTGAAGACTCAGATCACCCTGAAGACTAGCAGCTTGAACTTTCAAACAGTTCACAAATGTGAAATCCTATATCAGATAAAAGAAGCTCCTACCCATCTTCTGTCACAGAAAAAGCACGGTTAAAAAGTTGGACTCAAAGATTTGTGGAAATGGGAAGGCACCCAATTTGAAAGCAAGCAGGGTGTGTTTGTGTGTGTATGGAGTCTGCAGAGGTGGCAAAATTTAAAACAGGAAAAGGGTGAACAAAATCCCACACAAGAATAGCATGCTTTTTCATTCTCATACTTCTGATTTTGCTTTAAAATTCCAAAGTAAGAGCTTAATGAAACTCCTATGGGGTCTTTTTAAAGTCTACATTTGCAATTCTATGCACACTTACCTGGGAGTGAGTGAGTCCCACTGAATTCAGTGAGATTTTCTTCTGGGTAGACCTATACAATATTACTCCTTACATTAATTTACAACCATGCCATTTCTAAATGATCGCCAGCTAAAGCTCCAAACGCCAAGAATATTTAACTTCTGACCCTCAGCAGATCATCATATAGATAAACCATTAGTTGTTAGGAAGCTTAACTTTACCTTCATGACACAAAATTTTCAAAGTCATGCCAGGGTAGGTTACGGCAAGGATTCAGACTTGATTTGTCCCACAAGAGCTATAGAAAGGAAGATAAAAAGCCATGCATTAAAATATTCATTTACATGCATTTGTTTTGATAGATCAAAAGTATTTTCTATCCTATCGTACTGTCTGGATTTTAACATAGATTTTAACTGTCTATTCTATGGACTTTTACCTTTTCACATTAATTTATAAAGAGCACCTATGCATCTACCATAGACCCACTTCTGATATGCCAATAATTCTGAAGAGAATTGTAGAATGCACTTAGTTAATATGGCGTCCTGGCCAGGTCTGCTGTAAATTATACCATAAAAGAAAAATGCATTTAAGAGCATGCCAAATGCTCCCCCCTATGGCTGCACAATGCAGAGAGGAAAAACAGCCTTTGAGGAAGGCTTAGTCACCATTACTATCATTCTGTCACAAATCTGTTAGTTTTTAAGGCACTACAAGACACTTCGTTGTTTTGTTACAATAGACTATATATAGCTACCCCTCCACAACTTATTGGTGAGGCACCCCCCCCAAAAGCTCCTCAGAAACCCTAGGGATTCCACTTGTGTCTTTGAAATGAACCGTACATCCTTACTGTACTTCTGATCATTATGTGCTGTTTCCACGCAGTATGTGTTCTTAAGACACAACCATGATCTGCTTTTAGCAGTTGTGTTACAAAGATGGAGACGCAAACTTTATTAGGAACACATTGGACCAGTCAGATATGATGCCCCCACCCCATATCTTTCTTCAAAAGTTGCTGCTTCTTTTTATTTGGCGATGGAGCAGTTTGGCTGTTTTCTGTGAACTGGGTACCATCCTGCGGTACTTTTGATGACAGGCAACGTTGATCATGTGTGTGTGTGTGGTTTTGCTTTTTTTTTTTTTTTTTAAGTAGAAAACTAAGAGCCGATCTCTTTGCCCTCGGTGTGGACTGAGGATATTTTCGGCTCAAGAGCAGTGACAACAACGTGACGAAGTTCTCCCCCCTGGAAATCCTGGGCACACCTGAAATCCACAGCTCACCTGAAACTTCGCAGCATCGCCCGGCCTGACCCCCGCCCCCCCCGAAAGAGCAACCCTAAGCCGGAGTGAAAACTTCCCGAGAGTCGTAAAGGGCCGAGGCAGGGCCTCCGCTCCCTCTCGGCGAGGGTCCGCTCGGCTGAAAGAGGAAGGAGACCCCGCGGCGAGAGGCCAGGAGAAGGGGCCTCAGGGTCTCTTGGGGCTCGGCGGCATTCGTCCCTTGGAGAACTCTCGAACCCCGAGCCGGAGCGAAGGCCACGCCAGGCATGCCACCCCCCACCCCACTCCAATCTCCCAGCCACTCACCCTCACACCGACCTCCTCTGGTCCAAACAAAGCGCAGCCCCTTCCGCCGTGACGCCCCTCCTGCCGCCGCCACCGGAAGTACTCTATGGTTCTTCCTCCGCGCGGGGCGGCTAGGGAGAGATGCGGGCAGCGGCGGTTGCCGTGGCAACGGGACTCCCTTTTCTCATTCTCTCCCGCCTCCCTGCATGTATCGGAGGGGACGAGGCGCTTTATACTCCACCCCCCCACACAACACACACACGTTTTACGCTGCTGGGCTTTGTAAGGAAACGTGGCGTCCGATGCATTCACGCTGCCGTAACCTCACCATGGAGCCTTTTCCGATAGGATTTCTCGCCGCTACCCCGCAACTATTACATGGCCCCCTGTTATTGTGCCCGCTGCTTATAGTCAGGGGGTCTCCCGGAGCCCGGCCTTTCATACAGGCCACCTTTTAACCTATGAAGCGTTTTTTCAGCTGTTCCGATTTCCAAGAGACCAAATCGTGTAACCAAGAGATAAGTCGTTTTGGGGAAATTTTCAATTGGCACAATTTAGTTATGGTAAAAACCTAACTCTTGCATGCGCCAGCCCAGCCCTCTAGAGAACGGGTTTCTACACAACCATAGCACTTTCTAGTCTAGGGCATACAAGGAATCGACTTGTTCTGTGGCCCTCTAGAGAACGGGTTTCTACACAACCATTGCCCTTTCCCAACTCTCATCACTTTCTAGTCTAGGTCATACAAGGAATCGACTTGTTCTGTGGCTTGTATACTAAAATCAGGGGTTACTGAACTGGTTGGTAGAGATGGTCTGCAAACTTTTAGGCAATATGCAGTGCATAAAAATACAATTAAGAATTAAAGCAAAAGACCCCTGGACATCAAAGTCCAGTCAAAGGAGACAAAGGGGTGCAGCGCTTATCTCTCTTCAGGCCGGGGGAGCAGTGTTTGTCCGCAGACAGATTTCTTTACCTTTCCTCCGCAGCAGTACCCATTTACCTACTTGCACTGGTGTGCTTTTGAACTGCTAGGTTGGCAGAAGCTGGGAAGGAACAATGGAAGCTTAACCCGTTGCAAATTCGAACTGCTGACCTTCCAATCGGCAAGCCTAAGAGGCTCTGTGATTTAAGACCACAGTACCTCAAGAATGTGGGTTAAACCAGCGAGCGTAGGACTTGCCGATCAGGTTGGCGGTTTGAATCCCCACAACGGGGTGAGCTCCCATTGCTTTGTCCCTGCTCCTGCCAACCTAGCAGTTTGAAAGCATGTCAAAGAGCAAGTAGATAAATAGGTACCGCTCCTGCGGGAAGGTAAATGGCGCTTCCATGCGGTGCTCTGGTTTGCCAGAAGTGGTCATGCTGGCCACATGACCCAGAAGCTGTCTGCGGACAAACATTGGCGAGTAAAGCGAGATGAGCGCCGCAACCCCCGAGTCATACACGACTGGGACTTAATGTTCAGGGGTCCCTTTACCTCAAGTATCATAAAGCATCTAATAAAGCACAACAGCCACAAGAGGCAGAAAAATAATCAGGTGACTCACTCAGCAATTTACAAGTGGTCTGTGATGTTTATCCACTGTGCTGCGTAACTTGATAAAGGTTCTCAAACTGTAGAAGCTAGTCTAGATCTTGAGTGTACAGTACTGTACTGCTCTCGTACAAGAGCGGAAACTATCCTGCCTGGGTGCCTAGCCTACAAATCTAGAAGTCTGTCAAGCATTTCCCTTGTAAGCACTTGTGGACCATGAAGAGTTCTGAATTCAACATGATTGACAATCCATTTGTATTGCTCCTTATACCTTTCTTTTTTATGCAGTCCTTGTTTGCTAGCACCAGATTACTGTTTAAGGAACCATGGATGGTTGGATGAATATAACATCTGCATTAGAGAACTAAAACTCCAGTCTCATGTTTCCAAAGCAGCCCAACCTAGCTAAAATTAATATGGGTGCTGACAACCCCAATGTATTTTCCAACCACACATTTCACTTCATCTTACACTGGTAGTTACTGTAGGTCAGGGATTCACATTCATGGGCATCATCTTGCTCTCAAAGTAGACCAGTAAGTCTTATCTCTGCCACATCTGAAGATGGCACAATACCTCCTATGAGCTCACAAGCAGAGACACTTGTATGGTTCAAAGCTATGCACCTGTTGATTCTGGCCCAAACAAAGGAGCAAAGTAGCTTATGGTGTTGGCCAGGTTAGAAGCAGAGGGTTGTATCAAACTGTTTTACTCAAGAGTAGGGATTAAAACTGGATATAACCCAGATTGCTTTCACTTAAAGAAACCTTTACAAAATATCAGCACCCATTTTAGCCTGAATACCAGAGGACTTAATCCTACCCCACCCATGAAGTGATTTGAGTGCAGTAAGATACGTATGTACTGGATGCTGACACACGCACCCTCCCCAATTTCTCAAAGTTCCCCATAAACAACCTTTGGGTAACTGTTTCAAACTTTTTACTGACAATGTCAACATTTGGTACGGGGAAAAAATGTGCTGAATTCCCCCCAAAAAGGAATTTTATTGTATACAAGTCACTACATCAAGCCACAAAGAACAAGATCAGTCCAGAAGAGTAAAGCTCTGGGGCCCACACACCCCTTGAAAGATCACCGCTCTTAAGCTTTAAGATGGAATCTCCTGAAGATAGGCAAGGAGTCTTCTAGCAGCAGCAAATAGAAGGTGTTATCTGGAAATCAGCTTTTCAAGCTCTGCCCCTTCCATGCTCTGGTTCTGCAGCTTCAGTAGCACTGAGAGACATCTACTTGGACCTCTGTCTCATCTTTCTCCTTTTGCGCTTCAGCCTGTAGGGGATAATATTCTTTTAATTGTCAATACTAACGAAACATTCTACCATAAGGCAATGTAGTGTTTCCAGTCGCATGAAGTGAAAAATTGTTTCTGCAGAGATTCAGTAGGTACCGTTTTTTCCTTTCAGGTTTCTCTTGAAGGCTTTTATGCCAACAGGTCTTTGAAGCCACTTAATTTTAGATTAGCCAGCTACTTTAATGATTATCTGTATTCTTCTCAATAGCATTTAAGGTTTCGATGTTGTACCCCACCCTAATACTGGCAGTACAGAAATACTTGTATAACTAAATAAATGTTTAGTTCACTTTTCCTAAAGTAAGTCATTTCCTCCAATATCCTTCCTACCACACCAGTTACTTGCAGAATCAAAAGGCAACTGAGAAAAGCAAAACAAGATGCAGTTCAAGCAGCTCTTCTTCCTGCCTCCTATCCATTCCTGTTAAGCAGGTTAGAGGTAAAAAAAAAAATCAGGTTAAAGAGGGCCACCAATGTGAACCAGGCCCGGCACTAAACAGGCAGCCAACAACTTTCCAGTTGTCAGTAGAAACACTTAATTTCTTTGGCATCACAATTTCATACTCCCAACATGTATGTTACAGGCAGAGCCCAGAGGCATTGGAGAGAATGATTTTGGCAAAGCCTGTAGCTGTCTTGCCCCGTCAACTGAGAACAGATGGCAATAATGCAGGGAGTGATATTTTTCCACTTTTATTGCAATAAAAGCACCACTACTGCCTGCATTATTGCAACCTGTCCTGATTAGTAGAAGAGCCACCACAGAAGCCTCCCTCTGTACTTTTCTGAGGAGGGGAAGGAGAAGCATTGGTGACTGATCACTAGTGGAGAAGTACTGATACCTACTTTGGGGAGGAGGGCATTGGGGGGCGGGAGAAGAGGATCATATAAAAAAAGCAAAATAATTCACACTTAAGTTCTCAACTGCTTAAGGTATTCAACAGTGAAGGGAAAATGAAAGATTACCTACCATCTCAAACAGTAGCTTTTTACCAAAAGTTGAGATCCTGCCCTCAATGAAATTCTCATTTATCACATATGCAATACAATCCTAGGCGTGTTTCATCCAAGCCCCACTGTGCTAAATCGTTTATCTGCTAGTGGGTGTTCCAAAGTACAAACTGAGTGTCTCAGATAACTATATACAACAGCTGCAGGGCTGTTTCACATAGCACCAATTCTAATGTTTCTGTATTTATGATCCCTAGTGGGTGCAAAGCTTATGTTGGGAACAAGAACGAATGGAAAGCACTGAGGTATAAGTGCCTCAAAAACAAAAAGGGGTTGTAGTCAAAGAGAAGGCTAATTCTACTTTGGTTAGTATGGATATCATTGCATTCAGGCATGCATCTATGCAAGGAAATTGCCTCTGTACACTGGCCTCATGCATTAGTGATTGACCTGTGTTCGGCTTATTTTCTGTGCCTCCCCAGTGAGGTTCACTTGCTGTTTTACACTGGTTGAATCTGTGATGAACAGGCTTGAGGGAAGGCCTATTTCTCTGGATGCAACATGTGGCAGTCTGTATTCATCCTGACTGTATGCTTTCCATTATATTACTGGGAAGTCTTATACTTTGAATTATCACTCATTTTTCTAAAGCACTGCCTTGCAGAACAGCCACTGCTCCATCACACTGCTAGCATGTCTTCATCCACCTGCGATTTAGATAACCTAGGATTTGTATAGCTCATCTGCATCTGTCTTGCCTAGATTCTTTGCATCAGTAACTGGTATGGACTTCTGGTTGCACCAATGTAAGAAACCTAGCAACATTAACATTAAGCCTCATTGAGCTCAACGGAATTTATTAAGCAAGCATACTGGGAGTTCACTAAGTCTGCATAGCCAGTAGACCAAATTTGAACTTAGAAACAAGTGGGGTCCTCAGATTTTAATTTTCAACAGCCACTATTTAAAATTTTAGATGCCCATGTTGTTACAACGGTATCACTAAATTAGTCAATGCACTTTCGAGAACTCTAATCAAGAATCTTCAAAAGCAAAGCAAACAAGTGGGTTGCACAGTAAAATAAAAACACATGCTCACATACCTGCGCATTCGCTTCTTTCGCCACTAGAGAAAGGGGAGAGAAAGGAAAGACAAAGTCAGCGTTTTTTATAGCACCAAAACCCAGAAGAGTAACACAAATACACTGGTATTTAAACATATATGAGGTGCAAGATCTCAACTTGTAGTTTTTTTTAAAAAATGGGCCCAGCACCAACAGCATTTTATCCACTAGTGTCATTTCCTAAAATTGCTACTCTGGAGCTTGGCAGAGTCTTGATGTCAATTTAAAAATTCAAACAGCAGCTCTACAAACCTGGGGCCCAGAAATAAAACATTTGATAGTGCGATCTTGTGCACTGCTTACTTAGGAGAAAGCCCCACCAAGTTCAATGGGACTGACGCCTAAATGCGCATGTACAATAGTCACTAACAAAACTCAGGGCGGCCCTGATAAATGCCTTCATCAAGTACCGTATCAGGTTTACAGACTCGCTTCTCATGCAGAATCGCCCCATGACACTCGCTTTACCAGCTATTCCTCCACCCTCTCCAAGCTGCGAGGCCCAACTCTCTATATTCACACGCCATCGCGCACCTAGGCCTCAGCAGGGTTTCCTATCACCGTGTAGGCCCAAAATATCAGGAGGGCCTCGCCTGGCAGAGAAGCACGAGGCGGTCTTGGCAACTCTTCCACTTCCCCGCTCGTCATAATAACCTTCCCCATTTCGTACCTGGCCAACCGAAACAATAGCCCGCCCCATAGCAAAAGACGGCAACGCAGGCCTCGAGCCCAGCTACGTTCACGGGTCAGCTCGCTATCCAAGCCCGATACCCCACTCACCTTAGCTCTCATGTCGGGGTGGGTCCCCCGGGCTCAGTCCCTGAGAACAGGCAGCAAGGCTGTGGCCGGATGGCGACGGATAGACCTCGCCAGCCACCACAGAACAGCTCCGGCACAAGATGGCGGTGGCGGCAGCAAAGGAAAGGCAGATGTAGGCGGTCGGTTGCTATTTATACGTCACGCGGCGGGCGGCAGGGGCGCGTCACGAACGGCGGTCTTCGCATTGCATGGTGGGAGTTGTAGTTTGAGCACGAGAGAGGGGACACATTTCTCTCAGAGTGTAGTCGGGTGCTCCGCCGCCATTTTGGACGTGAATGTAGGAGCCTCAGCCATGCTTCCTAACACCTGGAAATAAGACCCACTGAGTTCACGAAGACTTAATACCGGGGCATAGACTGCACTGTTAGCCGGACAATCCGGCGGAGGAGCAGTTACATTCCCCCACAGCTACAAGCACACCCAACTATTCGGTGGAATTAAATTTCAGGCGCTGAAACATGCCGTCAAGACCGTCTTTGACCATGTGCAGAGAGCATTTTGCAAAATAGTCCGCAAATGGAGTCCGCCTGCGCATCTGGGAGACTTCCAAAAGTGTATTTTTAAGGTGCAGCTCTTCGCTACGGACTGTAGCAATCATGGAAGAACACGCCTAGGATTTTAGCAAACACCCACGAAATAATCATGTTTAAATAAAGGGCCTGATTGTTTGAATTATAGGCATGGGCAGGCTGATCCTAGGCATATTTGTGCTGTAACAAATCCCAGGTAAGGGCATAATAGGCTTGTGCCCTTAGAGTATAGGTAAAAAGAAGACTGGGATGCACCTAACAGTTTTAATTTAAGGTGTTTGGAACTAGAGCAACTGAACCATTGTTAACACTTGGCTGTACCCAAAATACTTGGGAATTGCATATTCACAACACTAGCCTAGGAGCACACACAAGGTGCACACTTACAAGGGAGCACTATCCAATCCTAAGTAGACAAAACTGACCCAGTGTCCACACCACTCAGTCTCTACCCCCCAAATACACTGCACATAGACCAGAATTACACATAAATTTTCCTTGTAAAACAAAAAACCCCAAACCACCACAAAAATACATGAGGGTCAACAACCCGGTGCCCATGGGTCAGGTTGGCAATGCCTCCGAGGATCTAGCTATATGTAAGATGTTACGAAAATGCTATATGCAGGCTTTCCCATATATAAATTCATTGCCTAAAATTGTCACCTGGACTCGCTGTACCTGATATACTAAGGGTGCAATGTGAAGTAAAATGTGACCTGCTTTTTCTATGCTAATGCAAACATATTTAATGAAAATGGGCCCTTGCCTAGCTTTGCAAAGGAAAATAAAAATTGTTACCGGTAAGTCAAAGTCAATATCATATACCCCCACCCCACCCCACAAAGATTTAAGTCTTTCTTTTTTTTAAGAGCTTGAAATAGAATAGGGCGGAGAAGACCACACTCCCGTCATGAATCTCCTACATAGAAAAAATACTACATTTCAGGATTGCAGGCTTCTCAAAACCTCAGGTTTACATCTTTGTGAAGTTACATGCACTTTTCAAGTCAAATCCAGCCCTCGTCAAATGAAAACCATGGATATCTGAAAACCTTCTGCTGATATTTAAGTGACCACTTTATTCCAAGGAGCTTATTGTCTGAGCATTTGCTTCCCCCACTTTAATTATTTCAGTTATTTATTAAATTTATATCCCACCCTTTTCCCCAAAGGAGTCCCAAGGTCATAGGACGCCTCTGCAAACACACAGCTTCAAGGAATTCATTAGCAATGGAGATTAGTTCAAGACATCAGAAAGAAGACATGAAGTGTATCAGGCAGTATGCAATACCAACGAAAGGCTGAGTTCTGCTCTTTGCATATCCCACCTAATAAAATAATCAGCTAAAGTGTGGCAGTCTTACAAATTTGGAGCCAACTGAAAATGTCCGCAATGAAATTACTGCACCTATTCTTCAACAGATTGTAAAAATGGAAGCAAGCCAGGAAATCACATCACCTAAGTCTTCTGTATTTTTAAAAATTTACATTAGCATCTCTGCTTCAGCCCTATCTTAATTTAAAATTGTGTCTTATAGAAATCGAAGGTGGGTAGTGTTAAGGACTTTTCTATCAGCACAAGCCTTTCTGCTTGTTGGATGGAACTATCTCCCCTGTCCTTCATCTGTGTGCTGATCTAGGGGTTCTTCTCATCCCCCCAAAGCCAATGGAGGGGGTGGGGTGAGGACAGGGGGAAGCCCCCCATTGAACTAGCAGGATTTGATGCACTGGCTTCTGCTAGCACAGCTATTTTGTTTAATCCAGCCTGTACAATGTGCACTTCTAGGCCACAGAATTAAGAACAATTATAATAAATAACAAGATGAAATATAACTTTTTAATTATTATTCAATGATCTGAAAATAACTCCCTTAAGAGAATCAAGTCTTTTGTCTCAAGACAGTCTTTAAAATAATCTTTCAAAAAAATTTTTTTTAAATAATTCCAGTAGCACCTTGAAAGACCAACTAAGTATAAGCTTTATACTTAGACCAACAATTATAATGGTCACAATTCTAACATAAAGGAGACAAGGTTGATGGGAGACCTCAGAACAGAACTTATTTTGGGATATTTCAAAAGCACTTCCTTCCCAAGTTGCAGTAGTCTTACATATCACTTGGGGAAACAGGCAAAGAAATGTGTACTGGAAAAAGCAACGACCAGTGTCGAAGCAATGATTCAACATCAAATTCGTTGAACTGGTAATGTTGTTCAGATGCCTGATTATCATCCTCCAAAGCAACTACAGTGGTACCTCGGGTTACATACGCTTCAGGTTACAGACTCCACTAACCCAGAAATAGTACCTCGGGTTAAGAAATTTGCTTCAGGATGAGAACAGAAATCGTGCGGCGGCAGCAGGAGGCCCCATTAGTTGAAGTGGTACCTCAGGTTAAGAACAGTTTCAGGTTAAGAATGGACCTCCGGAACGAATTAAGTACGTAAGCAGAGGTACCACCGTACTCTATTCCCAATGTTAGATAGGTAAGCATAATGCCAGTGGACAACAAAAGTGGTTTAAAGGTGTTCTCAAGGCAAATCTTTAAAAATGTAGTATAAACACAGACAAGTGGGAATCACTGGCCTGCGATCGCTCCAGTTGGAGAACAGCCTTGACCAAAGGCATCCAGGACTTTGAAGAAGCACGAACGCAGAAAGGGAGAAACGTGCCAAGATGAAGGCATGTTTGGCAAATCCTCACTGTGATCACGCCGGGAAACGTATGTCCCCACTATAGACGTGCAGATCCAGAATTGGCTTCCACAGTCACTTATGGACACAACTGTTAAGAACGTGTTCATGGAAGACAATCTTGCTCGGCTACGAGTGATCACCAAAGAAGGCACAAAGCATCTCACTAAACAGCATCCTGTTAAAGCCCCCTTAACAATGATCTATGCCTTCTCAGTTACACATATCCTTCATAACACAGTTCTTGCACTTCATTCAATGTGTAGTAAAGGGCAACTCAACTGTGTTTTAAGGACCCTCTTTTCTAAACACTTCGGAGAATGTTACAAGACAACCGGTTGAACAAGTCATCGCATGGCATTCTCTTGCAAGGTAGTTCTATCAACAGCTACTGCAATGTCAATGTAAAACACTCAGGAGGCAGTTTTCCACCTGCGCTGCAAATGTACTGCATGCCTTGTCTTCTACTACTGCTGTATGGCCTGGCGCACCATGCGATCAGGATAATGAGATTTGTTAGAACAGGCATCCCCAACCTGTGGCCCACCAGATATTTTGGACTACAGTTCCCATCATTCCTGACCACTGGTCCTGTTAGCTACGGTTCATGGGAGTTGTAGGCCAAAACATCTGGAGGGATGCAGGTTGGGGGTGCCTGTGTTAGAATAACCATGACACCAAACCATTATCCCATTAATGCCAGAATGTAAGGAGCTGTTTCTCTGGCTTAACAGCAAAGAATAAAGATAACATATTGTAGGCCAAGTGTTAAGAATTTCATAATTTTACCCTTCTAAAATGGTAGCAAAGAGAGCGACAGAGTTTCACTATGCCGGGAATGTGGAAACTGTGGCTCACCAGATTAGGATGGACCTCAAATCCCATCATCTGGGGCCACTGGACTGATGGGAGTTTGGGCTCAAACACACCAGGAGGTACAGGTTCCCCACGCCTGCTTCATGCAAGAGAGGCTTAAATACTTAATGCTCATGCCTCCTTCATGGACATTAAAACGAAGAGATAATGTAATAATACTACCCTCCATCCTCCAAAAAGCTGCTCATCCGTAAGGTGAGGTGAGGGACACACTAACCAGGAAAGCTGCACTCCTAAAGATTTTCCGCATGTTCTGGATATTTAGAACTCTGGTGACTGCAGCAGTTTAGAATCATGAAGAGAATTCAACGTTTTAACATTCTCTGTCATCATGGCTAATAAATGTATAAAAGATGGAACATTTCTTCATGCATACCACATTTAGATCCGAAACACTCCAGATCCTTCCACCCCCTCAACATAGCAGACCCATTCATCTATCCAGAGGTGTCACTAATCAATTTTATTTGGAAAAAAAATCAAGTTACAGAACAGTTTGTGGGAATTTTCTTCCAAAATTTCCAACGGCATTTTTTTTTTTTTTAAATCAAGAGATACAATTGCCTTGAAGTCTCAAAATAAAGATAGAAAATTAAATTAACCGCCAGCAAGTCTTAGTGGTTTATAAACTGGTAATGTGGCTGAACTCAAGCCTTTCCTTTATGGAAAGGCGGTACGAAAACATATTTCCTTATAAATGCTAAAATATTCCTCATTTGAACAAGTTCTTCCCCGCCCACCCTCCCTTCCCTTCCCTTGTTCATGGTTAACAAATGGGAGCAGTTCTAAACTAAAATGGCAGTTAATTGCAAGTTTTGTGCATGATCCTCCAGCCTCATCACTTTCATACGATTCAGCCTCCGCTCAACATGTTCCCAATTTTACCTCCCAAACGTAGCACTGAAAGCAACCCTTACAAAAGAGCAAGAGAACAGAGTAGAAATCAAAAGTAGAAAGTTTACAAAGAGTGATGGAAAAGGTTTTTCAGGAAAGAAACATGTGTTTATTTCCTCTTATGGACTTAAAACTTTGGTAGTAACTGTAATTTTTTTTTTAAAGTATTTGAAATCCAGATATATTGGTCAAGAAGGACTTTGCCTGCCAGAGAGCACAAGAGCTCCCCTTCCTAACAAGACAGGTCTTCAATTCAGCTACAGTAAGTGTCTTAGACAGGGACCTGGTTAGGAATACAATAGAAAAAAAATCCCACAATCATATACAATTCAATTGGACAATTTAAAAAGACATACTATAGAAAAGTGATTCCCACAAAGAGCTTATTCCAGGTCCAACCACTTATGTAGCATTGCATTCATTCATGTAAAAAAGATGTTTGGAGGGAATTCTTCTGAAAAATCCTACTTTATCAACCTGAGCAGTGGCAAGTTGAACGGAAGTATCCAAGTGTCCATGCACTGACTGAAGCAATCTGTCAGTGGAATAGGGAAGACAGGCAGTTTTTGGCTATTCCCTCTTTCCACACAGCCCCTGCAACCCCTTAAATCTGCTCCAGAGGGTTGGGGGACCCTGCAGAGCAGATCTGAGAAGCAAAGAGGGCTGCATGGAGAGGGAAAATTGGGGGGGGGGGAATTGCCTGCCTTCTCTATTCCACTGACAGGTTCTTCCTGTTAGCAGATGGATAACCACTGGATAGCCATCTTTAGTCCACAAAAAGCAACAGACAAGTGCAGATGAATAAAATGTCAAACCATCAAATGAAAACTAGAGGGAGGAAGCTGCAGGTATCACTTTTGTCTCAAAGGATTTTGTGAGAGTTACCATATTTTTGCACTGGGGTAATTATTATTTTTTTCACACAAATTAAAAGAAATGTAGAATCTTTACAAAGACAAGCTATCTACTCGGAGAATGATCTTTAAACCAGCTTCCTGTCAACTTTTAAAATACAAGGTTGATAGTTTAAAAAGAAACACACACACACACAAAAGAACCCTAAGAATGTCCTATATGGTTTAAGCCAGAAAAAAAATGACTGAAGATTATTATAGGAAGAAGGCATCAAGTTACATTAACTGCATGTAATGAAATTCTAAACCCAAGAGCTTTTGCATTTTTAACTTCAGTTGTGAAAAGATACTTGAGGATTTTTCAGAGGAATCAGAGTACCTGCAAAAGGGAATGGGGGGGGGGAGAGAACTAGACGAAAGCTCAGAACTGTATGTGTTCACCTCTAATGAGCACAAGTAGTATCAAAGGCTATAAAGACTGGATGTAGGCTAGTTTTTACTCCTGATTTTATTATTTCATACTTTTAAAAGTATTCTGAAGTGGCCAAGAGACTCCTCCCTCAGTGGCAAAGTCAGTCACAACTGGTTACACTCTGTGGGAAGTCCAGGCTATTTGTCATTTGGTCCTATGAGACAAACAGCCGTAAATGGATATTTGTTTCTCTTGTTTTGAGTGGGGCATTTGAGAGAAAGAATCAGGTGCTACGCAGAGGCGGTCAGAGCTGTTCAGTCACCAGTCTCATTCTCTTCTGCTGTTTCCCCTGTTGTGGCGTTCTCAGCATTCTTAGAGGCCTGGAGGAACAGAGGGGGTGATATTAACTGAAACTGAAGCTAATAGGAAAGGAAAGGAACAGTTTGCAAAAACTCTAGACACAGCATTCAATATTTCACAGTTGTTAACAGTTTTAAAGAGGACACCTCAGCTTTCAAAGGAATGCCTGCCCAAACCTATATGAGGTTGGATTTTTCTTTGTAAGGTTTGCATGAAATTTCCGATCAAAATATCTTAAAACTTCACCCGCATAGAACTCCACCTAAGACCTTAAGAAACTTTAAATACTTATAGACACTTTAAAAGAAAATAAGCCCCCAGAATCCATATGTATTGTACGTTCTTCATTGGGCTCAATATTAAGCGACAGTACCCATTTACCCTGCAGTTGTCAAACTCATGAAATCCTACCAGTCATTTGGAAAAAATGGAGTTCTAAAATATGCTGTACTATTATCGTATCCTGTTTAAGAAGATTTAAGGCGGGATAGGGAACTGGATGCAACCAGAAGGCTAGATCCTTATCTCCCTCACCCTCCATGGGCCAACGCTGACAGGTGGGTGGGCCATACTTCTGTCGATTAGTTTTTAAAAACAGAGCGTTTTTCGTTTTTGTTTCCAAAGGAAGCTTGCAAAGCTCCTTAAGTTGCACTTCCCAAGCGCCTGACAATCAGCTGATTGTCGGGTGCTTGGGAAGTACTGAGCAAGGGGGTTTGCAGGCACCACCAACAGGGTCCCTGCCCCTCACTTGACATCATACATGGCACCAGGCGTTGGGTAGGTGGGTGTGGCTTGGCCAAAATGGCTTCACAGACCATATGGCCAAGCCTAAATAGACCCACAGGCCAGAAGTTCCCCACCTCTGAGCTGAGGCATCAACATAGTAATTTGAGGTCTCATGGTCTTCAAGAGCCATAATGATGGCAACAACACAATTTAATAAAAATAAATAAATAAATAAATAAATAATTTTACATCTGCCCTTCACATAAGGTCTAAGAGCAGGTTACAATATTTAAAAAATGTAATGAGATTAACACACAAACACAACCAAGTACCTTCTTTTTCTTCTTTTTTTGGGCCTTGCGGCTTGCTGAGCTCTGTAGGAGTGCCTGCAAGAGGGGAAAATGTCAGAAGCGAAAGGAGATACCTAGAGTGCGATTACTTCTAAGACAACAAGGAAGGGAAAATCACTGCCAGCCATAAAGGAATGCAGCCAGTCCTAGAATGCTTGGCACATATTGGGACTAACAATTAGCCTCACATAAAGCTGAGCTATGCATCCTTTGGAGCCAGCAACTTCTAGTTTCACCTGCTTGCAGAGAATTACTCAACAGTAGCGAGTCTGGGAGCCTCACAGTGCCTCTTTAGAAATTACAAGCTTATAAAATTGTCATTTAAATTTTTCTAAGAAGAGGAAAGAAGAATTGCAAAGGGCGGGGGAGTTGCATGTTTCACTTTAGCAAGTAAGTGGTCACATTTGTATAAAACAGCCTTCAAAATCATTTTGTTTTTAATTCAAAATGCTTTCAATGAACTCACTCATCTTGTTCTTACACCTCATTACAATTCACAACAAAAAACTTTACTAGCTCTTTAGAAAGAAGAAGCAAATTGCTTAAACATGATATCTCACATGACAACATGCCTGAAACATTTTTGTACTTGAAAAAAAAAAGGCACAAAAGCTAGGGGAGGCAAGGCTTTTTCTTCTTAGCACTTATCTTGCCTGGTCAATGGAAAGTTAATACAGGTACCCATTCAGTGCATGACAGGGCGATATTTGTGGCACACCCTAATCCTAGAAGGGTGAGGAACTATGGACCCAAAACAGTCCCTGGGGCCTCTACATCCAGCCCACAGAGTCCTCACCTCATTCCCCGGCCATGGGCTTGAAAAAGCTTGGTAGAAGCAAACAGAATATTTCCTCCCTCCCAAAGTCTAATTGTAGGGCAGTGGTGTCATAGCTGGAGATGGAAGTTAACTCTCACCTTCCCATGTGCTGTGATTCCATCAAGAACATTGTGGCATCACAATTAAGCTATTCATTGGCTCAAACAGAATTGCTTCTTTCAAAGCCAATTTCGGGAAGTGGAAAACAGAAGCATGGGCTGTATATGTAGTACCTCTGTGGGGTTCTTTTTGGCGGGGGGGCATACCTTGGCTTGCCATATCTACTTTTGTTTGGGCCAGACTCACCATTGGCATGCAACCCCTAGAAGGTTGGCCAAGAGGGAACATGGTCTTTTGACCAAAAAATGTTCCTCACTTCTGTTCTAAACACACACTACAGTAAGCCTGCAACTTATGTGGGGATTATGTTCCAGGGATTGTCCCTAAAGCCAAAATGGCATATGGTCAAAACAGATTGGGTGTAGTGGCATGTGGAATTGCCACCCCCCTGCCCACCCCCTTTTTGCCAAGCATGTAAAGCTGAATGCACGCAAGTTAAAAGTGTGTGTAAGTTGCAAGCTTACTTTATTTTAAAATGCTTTTCTTCTTCTCTATGGGCTAGTCCTCAACATGTTAAAACCTACTTTGGATCCCAGATTTGTCCCTGCTCTCTTGGAACTCCTTCCCCAGCTTTATTAATGAATAGGTACTGGGAATAACAAGAACTATCAATTTTTATCTCATCACATTTACACTGGGAATAAGTAACTCAAGCAGTTCTCCCTACTGTGACAACATTTGTTCCTGGAACTCTGGGCACTTATACAAAGAACACTGTAATCCCACTGACCTTCAGATCTGCATCTTGCACCTCAAATTCTGATTTGTAGAGTTCAGGCTCAAAGGGACCGCTAGTTATCCTCATGGGACCATTGGGCATTAAAAGCACCGTGAACTTAAACTGGGCAACAAACTCTCCTGGGTGGGGGAATTAAGAGAAAGATTAGCCATGCAACATGTTAGACAACTGCCTACATCAAGGGTCTGACAAGCATACAAGAAGAAGAAAAAAAGAACCAAGAGGTAAGATTGGTTTGGTTCAGACAGATCTGCTATAATAGTGGAGAAACAGGTATGTGAGCTTGCCATGAGATGTTCATTTCAATTATCCAAATTAGAGCAGGGGTTTCCTTCCCTTTTTACCTAAACTCAGCCCACCTGAACTTTTAAAGGCACTACAGTGGTACCTCGGGTTAAGTACTTAATTCGTTCCGGAGGTCTGTTCTTAACCTGAAACTGTTCTTAACCTGAAGCACCACTTTAGCTAATGGGGCCTCCTGCTGCTGCCGCGCCACCGGAGCACGATTTCTGTTCTCATCCTGAAGCAAAGTTCTTAACCTGAAGCACTATTTCTGGGTTAGCGGAGTCTGTAACCTGAAGCGTATGTAACCTGAGGTACCACTGTACTGTTGAGGTTCTTATTCAAGAAGTAGCAAACCACACTCTCATTTCTCACTGGTCTAAGATATTACTGCAAGTGTCCAGGGGTCCACAGTTGTGGCTGAACCGGTAACCAACCAAAATGTGTAGTTGCCAACAATTCTGTCTCTCTCCCTTGAAAGACACTCTAAAATTAAGTGTAACTAACTTGATAAGTAGTTGCTCAGGAGCACTGCGTTGTTTTGCTGCTTTGGAGCACCTGCTAAAAGCAACACAACTACAGGAACGAAGCCTTTCTTCTAGGCTTGGGAGTGTTCACCCCTGCAGTTGCACTGGGCTTCAGAAGTACTCCAAAGCAGAAAAAAGGCTCACTGCTTCTGTTTCCAAAACCAGAGACAAGTCCCTGCCCATCTTTCAGTCTGCCCTCATCACAAATGTATTTACCAGGTGAACAGATGTGCTCACCACTCGCAAGCGTATTTGCACACTCTTGCAAATGACACAAAATATGTGTCCTAGTCTCTAACTGTGACCCCCCCAAATTTAACCAAAAAGCAGAGATCTCTGTTATGAAGCATGTATCTGTATTCAACATGTACATTCCGTTCTAAAGTTAAGTGCTCTCAGAAGAGTTCTTTCAACAAGAAACATATTGGGGCAACAAAAGAGTGTATCAATTCAGCATATCTTTCTAAAGGTAAAATAGTGCATAATAATTAGTCAGAGCTGCCAACTGCCTAGCCCCAAAGCAAGACAAAAATTGCTCTGACATTCAGGCACAAGTGCTTACCTTCTTTATCATAGAGGACATTAAAAGGCTGTAGCAGCTCATGTTTAGCACATTCTACTACTCCCATCCTTGCCTTCTTTTCATCCTCAAATGCCCTGTATGGAACAAACATAAAAACAAAAACTGTTTGTGCAGGCTTTTCTGCATCCTTTGGTTACTATAAGAACTGCAGAGTCATAGCACCAAAGAATGGTTATATATTGTGCAGATGCACACAAAATATAGAACATGTTACTGGACACAGAATTCAAGTTCCCACTAATCTCAACGTCCCACCCCATTATGGCAGGAAACTTAATTTGGAGAGTGCAGAGATGCTGGCACAATCTCACAAGGGATAGCTGAGTAAGACTTCTTGCGCCCAGGGTTTCAGTGCCCCCTACCCAGTTAGCAGTTACCACAGTTACCAAATAAGCAAGACACTTGCGTAGCTTATATAGGCTGTGGAATTCGCTTTCTCTTAGTACAACATTTTGATTTCTTTAGCACTTAACAATTCTGCTTATTACCTGTAGTACGAGGCTAGCATTCTACACACAGCTTAAACTAGGAAAAGCAATATAACTCAGAACATTCCCTTCACTTTACAATACATGCAAGAGACATGACTGCAATGGTAGGAACCATTCAATCATTGAACTACCAAGTGGAATCCCCGTTGCCAAGTTTATGCACAGATGCACCAGAAAACAGAGAGTACCTGAGAGTGAATGGCATAGCATCAAAGCGTCTTTCCACCTCACTGAAAAAGGCACGGGAAGTTTTCATTTTCAAACCATATTGCTTGGAAGGGTCCCTTTTGTAAATTGTAGTTCTCTGCCCAGCATCCTTTGCCTAAAGACATGCAAGTCATTAAAGACAGTTTTAGCAGCATAATATATATTTACTTATATGATGAAAGGGAAGGTAGCAAAAGAGTAAAAGGGGGTAAAGGATGTTTTTTGGGCTACGATTGTGGTTATGTAGAGCATTTCCCAACTTAACTGGCTTTTAAGACAATACATCAAACAATCTAACCAGGAAGTTAACGTCCTTGTGACTTTAGATAAAGTTGCCGAACTTGTATGGCACCTGATTATAGAACAGGTGTTAAGCAAGGACACTTACCTTTCCTTCTCCAGTGCTGATGAGAACATCAATGGCATAAACTTCATGGACTTCAAATTCTGCTTTTTCATGGTCCTTTCTAGATTTAAAGAAAAACACACACACACATGAAAATAGAAGACCACCTCCATTTGAACATTGTTTGGGAGTCAATATGAAGCAAGATACTAATTCTAAGTCATGTGTTTCATCTTACAACACATCTGCGCTCCTAGTGCCCAAAAGGCACAAACACAAAACGGCTTGGCAACAATTCCAGACAAGAGACACGTACCTTTGCTGGTCTGAGGGGTTCTGGATGATAGTCTTCTCCCCATCTATCACATGCTGCTTCAGCTGGTGTGATAGCATCCCTGTCAAGAAAGGGTATCTATTAGCACTGGAGTTGCAAAGCAGCCAGTGAATCACAGCTGATAATCCAAGGCACTGCACTGCACTTCCTTTTTTTAAAACAAAGATCAGAGACACATCTTGTCATATGCCCAAAGGTCTGCGTGTGCTTGTTAAAAAACAGCTTCAAAATTACACTGGGATAGGTATTCACAATTCCAACAGCTGGAGGCTGCTTTATTAATAAGACAGCTACATCACCATTTCTACTAAAGAAAAGCCTTTTTGCCACATTATTATTATTTTATTTAGTCAACTTATAAATGGCTTATTTTATATAAAAATATTTCAAAGCTATTTACAGTAAGGAGTTAAAGATTTTAAAATAACTAAGAGTCAACTCTGCAGGGCACTCTGTTAACCTTCTCCTCCGCTTTTCCCACCAACATATTCTTTTCTCTTTCTGCAACTTATTATTTTAACCCTCTTTTTTGCCTTCTACCGCATAGCATGCACACTGAACCTCATCTCTATTTTCTGCATCACAATCTCTTTACTCTTTTCTCCAATTTATCTTTTTATGCTCCAGTTCTGTGCTTCTCAATCTTTCCTTGCTCCTTGCTGAACTTAACAGCACTCTCCCAGTACCTCGCACCCTAAGAGTCTCTCCATACTATGACAATATGGATTTGCAGACGAGTTTGCACTTGACAGGCAGCTGCAGCCAATTCTGACACTGGTAATTTCGCAAGTATGAAGTGTCTGTTTCTAAACTCTCTCATTCATAGTGCATGTTTAAAATCTAAATAAATCTTTAGATGCAGGTCTGAAATATTGTATGTTTATCTCCATGAGGGTCTCATTCACAAGCAGACTGTGGCACAGCTGGATAGTTGCAACACTGCAAAAACTACCAACTCTACTGTATGCCTCTGAATCCAGGGAGAGAAGCAGCACACAACACAATAAAAGCATCCTCTTGCCCCAGTCCCCACTGATTTCTTCAGGAGTGGGAACAGATCACAAACAGCAGGGGTTTGAAATTGCTTCAGGGGGCATAATTAGTCAGGGAAGTGACTACTTAGCAGCCCATGGATTTTGTACTGTGCAAGAAGAAAGCTTAGAAGTGTTAAATGTGCCCTTAAACAAGGCGACACATTTAACTTGGGACTTTTAAAACGACCTTTCCATTTCAAGCCTGAAACACTGTGTCAAGTAGTACTACAGGGACTTCTAACATCCAGGGTCACCAAACAAAGCATTCCTGCTCATCCAGAGACAAATGATGTGCCCAGAGAAATTTGTCCATTCTATTTATTCTCTTCCCCATACCACCCTCTGACACAATCTAGATCAGTACACCAAAGCATTCCTTCCTGCTTTGATGCACATCTTCAATATTTAAGATTCAATCTAGGGAAAGCCATGTCTCATCTGCCCTCCACATCACAAGCTTTGAGCAAGGAAATAGCACCTTTCTACTGGCAGGGGGCTGGTGGAGAGAGAGAAATAAGTCTTGACCTTGAGAGAAAAGAGCTCTGTTTAGTTTCATAAACTGCTGCCAGTGACTGGATGATTATAACACTTGAATGTTTCCAAAACAGTAGCTGCTTAGATTCCCTTGACAGCTTGAGCAGCCTCCTCCTCACTGTGCTGACATTTTTTTCCTACATAGGCACACCACAGATCTACAAGACACTGCATGTGAAAAAATCTAACCTTAGAACCACATTTTTTGCAGGGTGGCCTAATACAGAAGCCTTAACTGACTGGTGGCCGAGAACATTTCCATAACACATCACTAAAACAGCACATTTCTTTTACCGTGCTATCGCCTACAGTGAGCTTATTTTGTGAACTGCTCCCAAAGGTGACTTATTCGACTTTGGTACCATCAACAAAATAAAAGCAACATGAAAAGTTCAGCTTGATACCTTGATCATCTATTTCGGTTTCTAACAAAGTTCCTCAAAGCATATTACCCTGTGCCCTGAACTGTGACCCCAAATTTAAGCAGTCAGTTCTTTTAGCCAAATGGGCAGGCTAGAAGGAAGCACAGGAGTAATTTGTACATTGAAGCATCCTAGCTCTAAAGGGAATATTTATTTACAAGCATGTTATACAAAGTACTCCAAACATCAAAAGCAGATATGCTGTCCTCACAATAACTACTAACACTTCCAATACTTTCAAATTCTACAGAAGGATCATTGCTATGTTAAATGCTCTTCTATTTCTGCTGTCTTATTTCATTGTTCAGTTAGCTAATCCTTACCTTCAATTGGTGTGCAGTTAAATGAATGAGCTATCTTGTTCCAGGCATCTGTCACTTGTGAATTCTATTGGAAAAGGGTGAATATTGGCATTTAAAGTTGAATTTGACCATATTCTGCAGTGAAACCTGTGATCAACACAGTTTAACGGCCCCTACACTGGCTATTATTTTGGAGAAGCGGATCATAAATGTATTCCCCCTTCCCTGCACAATAAAAACCCCCTATAAATTCCAAGCCTTCAACAGAAAGTTGTTCAGTATTAGAAGCAGCCAAAACATTCCAGTATACAAGGTACTGTATGACAATGATCTTTTCATACAGAACTTTTAATGGTGAGAAGCTGAATAGAATTACCACTGAAATCGTTATATATGCTATGTAATTGAGGCAGAGATTAATTGTCAATAATAATGCAATAAATCTACAATTTCTTGTTTTCAATGCGGTAGCATAAACATAGTGCCTGAGACTAGGAGGGAATTACTGGAAGGGAAAAGCAGAACCTTCTACATCCTGTCCTAAAATTGTCATTAGACTAAACAAATGCTCAGCTGCCAAATACTTCTTATCATGTTTGGGGGGCGGGCGGGAAAACCCAAGACCCTTCAGCCATTTGCAGAAAGACTAATGACAATACAAACTCTTCAGTAACTACTACCTTTTCACAAGCAAAGACCTCCTCACCCCAGAGAGCATTTCTGCTATCTATGGCCAGCTGCCCTCAGAACAGTTTAATACCTCTTCCCAGAGTAAGCCAATGATTTTTTATTTGTATGTTCAGAATAAGTTGAGGATTGGATCTGTGGTCATAACCTCTGGTCACCCATCCTGAAACATGAAACCAATTCATGTAAAAAGTAGCCACCCATTGTCACCTGGTTTCCAGGCTTAACCAAACGCAGAGCAGCTTCAGCACAGAGGTGAGCAGCTTTGATGACATCAGCTTTGCGACCTGACACTGGAGTTTCCTGAAATGGTAGGAAAAAACTAATATTCATATAAGCTTTTACTCCTAAGGGGTGAAAAGTGACAAGCGCTTTCTCAGTGACAAATCCTAAAGACATAGTACAGCTGCACAAAATATGAATGGAGTAAACGAGCTAAAATTAAGCACTCTTGTCCCATTGATTCCAGTGAGAGGGTTTAAGCCTTATCTGAATCCCATCCTGTTGGAATCAATAGGGCTTTTAAAAGTGTTTAACTGATTGAATTGTGCCCTTCTCAATCAGATGACTTGGACTACAGCTCCTACTGCCTCTGAACACTGGCCATGCTTACAAGGAAACATAGGAGTTGGAAGTACTAAAGATATGGAGAGCGCCTGTGTTTGGAAGGCTGCTGAAAGTATTTTGCCACTCCCTTAATTCACAAATGGGATTCAAATGTTATCCAGCCCTACAAGTCACTCTTTTCTTTGTTTTGCCTTAGATGCTAAATCAGCATTAGCTATGGTTAAATAAACCGAATTGACAAGTGGCAAGAGTTCTCAATCCACACCAGAATGCTCGAGTCACCAAAGTGACCCAAAAAATCTGGCTACATTTCCAGCAATTGTGTAGAAATTCAAAAGTTTAATGCAGCCTTTCCAGGAATATAGTATATTATTATTAGTTTATTTTGCCTTGGATACTTTGAAGAGCTGCAGTTATGATAATTTAGAATTTTGCTTAGCTTGCAACTTTGGCCAAGTTGAATAGGACATGCCACTTAAGAAGTTACACATTAATGTACAGCGCCCGATGGAGTGACTGATCAATACAGCTGTCCCACATTCTTGGCAATGGGATGGATTGCCACTATACATCTAGAAATGCAACCACTTGACCCATCCTACTTCTTAGCAGCTATAGCTGCAAATGAATAACTAGCAAGCCAGTTCTACTTAAGGATGCCGCTTACATTACTCCCCCTACTGGGGCCAAGCCTGTCTTGAAAGTAGCATGTGCACATGCTACTCAAAGCCACATGCAGGAGATTTACCTTTGATGCATCAATGACAAAACTGTGAGCTACATTTGCTATGAAGCCATCAACATGGACTCCCAGGTCACTGCAACATGAAAAGGGAAAAAGAGATTTAAACCACAGCTAGCAATAAGGAAACTTCTGCAACATCAAAGGCTTTAAAAAATTCTGCTTACATGACACTTCCACATTCTAACCCTATTAAACCATTATGGTACACGAAATAGTTGGCACCATGGCAGTTAAAGTGACTATCTCTACTTAGGAAGCAGGGCAGAACCATTAAAATGTGTCTCATGTGCCAAGAGAAATCCACACTAAACCAAAAAACAAACACACACCTGCACCAACAATAACTTTGGTCCTCAAAAATGTGGCTCAGAGGTACCATATATAGCGTAATGCACTCTGAGCAGACCAGCTTAAAATATACAGCTGAGGGTAAAAGTAAGCCAACAGATAACCCAAGAAAGTGAATGGAGATGCTTACATTTTGACCAAATCACCATCTTTGAGAATGTAATCCTGGTCACTCTTCAAGGGGGAGAAGTGACAGACACAGTTATTTACCGATATACTTGTGGGGAAGGCAATACCTACACAAAAAAGGGAGCAGTGATGAGATCATACAATCTACACAAGCCCTGTAACAGTTTTCCATCTCACAAATATAATAGTTACTGGTATGTATAAGTGTTAGCGTTTTAATGTGATTAGATTGTGTATCAGACATTGTTTTGACAACTTTTTAAAAAAGCAGGACAGAAATAAGTATCGTAACATGGGTCCCCTAAACCAGACATTTGGATTTGGGACACAAGTTGCCCTATGTAATTCAAAGACTACATCAATCGCATAACGACTAGGTTGGACTGCTATCCTTTTTCTGCTGACACTGTGAGTGGTACTAGAGCTGCTACAGCTGCACCAACCTGTCTTGTAACTTTGGAAGCTTCCTCAGTATAAAATGAGCTGGGCTTGGTAAGTGCTTAGAGGGAGAGGCTTAAGGTGTGACCTGGGATAATTTATGGGAGTATGAACCACTTTTTCAGACAGTAATGTGCTACTTTTCCAACAGATCATAATGCTGCTGCAGAGCCAGTAATTCCATGGCTTGGATTCAGAGATCCCATGCATGGAACTTTGCCCATAGGACTCTCCCTAGGGAGGGAGGATGGGGTGATTTTCACCAGTTCCATTTTCCTTTGCAGCCCACTGACCCTAAAAAGCTGCTCTGGACCCTCAAGAACTGTGTGGGAGGAAATGGAGAGGGGGGGAGGGAGAAAAGAGATGAAAAACCTTCCTCCAGCAGAAGGCTTCATGGGATTTGAGACACACTGCAATTCTGTAATTCCACAACTATGCAAAGTTGCCTGACCACTTATATTTGCTATCAGCCCTTAATTTTGTGAAATATGCAACACTATAGTGCTTAATATTTATGTTGTTATCAAAGATTTATGATGTTATGCATGATTAAGACACATTTTTTCTTGTCAAGGTATCAGTATCGATGCAGACTGGCCAACTATCATGCATGACAAGGCAAATCCATTCATGGTTTTGTCTACATACAGAGTCAACATGTCTTAAACTCATGTCAACGTACTTTTAAGTAAATAGTTCATATAACACTACAATCCTCAAAACAGCATGGACCCTATATCCCCAAGGCTAATAGGTATTTTATACTTTTATGCCACTCTGAAATCCCAAAGCAATCTAGCATGGGTTGGTTTTCATATCAATTTAAAATTTGGGTTTTTTGCCAGACTTCAAGGTACACAAAGAAGAGGAAAAGAAAATTATGTGCTGGGTGCCGAAGTATTGAATCAACCCCATTAGGGGCAGAACAAAAGTAATTTCAAATCCTCCCCTTCCAGTTAACTGGATTCCATGAACTGCCAGAAATGTGAGCAGCATTTTTAAACTGCTTCCAGCTAGACAAAAACGGAATGCCTGATGTTCAAAAGTATAATTTATCTGCACAAAATGGAACAAATAATTCAGATCTGGAATACAAACTAATACAAGCCTAAAAGCATGTAAGCACTGGAACAACCTGCAGCAGTCACACTGGAAATCTAGGCTGGGTCTGCAGGTCTTGCATCTCAAACTCCACAATCCACATCACTGTACAATTAATTCTATTCAATGATGAATACAATTTAAATGAGGCAACATGATATGTATGTCAAAAATAAAGCTGGAAAATTGTATGTTACCTTTCTTCATATCTTTCTCTTTCTTAAAGATTTTGCCAGTCTCTTCCATGATCATGGCATCCCCTCTCTCACATAAGCTGAGGACAGACACTCCAGACTTAGCTGCTTCTACCACAGTCCGCAGGACTCCTGTAATTCAAGATAAAACTTCATATTGAATATTTTAATACACTTTACAGTTGCATAAAGCTATGCCACACTATGGAGCTCAGAAAGTGTATTTAACATGGGTAGCTCAACTTCTCACACTGAGGCAGGGTTCGAAATTAGCAGGGCACCAGGCACATTTTGCGCCTAAAGATTTTCAATTTGCGAGTGCCTCAAAAAGTCTGGGTGCCATTTTTTTGCACCTGGCTGACACTCAAGGATTACTGAAATGTATTTGCTTTGATGCTTCAAAGTATATGTTAAGGATAGACAATATGCTAAGGAGTTTAACAATAAAGGTCCCAGAAGCCATTTGGCTCCCAGTATTTCTATTCCAGTTTCTAACACTGCACTGCTAGATTCCAAGGCATCCAAGTTCTATTCCCACATCAACTGCCTACAAAATGTACATTAAATTCCATTGTTGCATGCCTACTGAATTAGAACACTCTTACCTATACCATTTAGGGAACTGAGAATCTCTAGTAATGTCTTCAGATTCCTAAAGTCAACTCCACCTCATGAGGTGACAACAGGTTGCAGTAGTTTTTCCAAACCTGCATCTTTCTGTCCCCAAGAAACTTTCCATCAAAGGTTGATCTAATCAACCTTACTTCTATAGAAACTTTGAATTTTAAATACTATAGAACACTCACATTTAATGATATTCTAAGATTAAAGCATACCTAGTCTTTCATGGTTTCATTTATGGAAAGCATGTGAGCCAAAGAGAAAAACATTGGCTGAGGATTCTGTCTTGTCTAATTAAGGTGTCCTCATCAGAAAAATGGCAATATTTTCTCTAAAGCCAGAGAATATTCCAGAAACAATACAATACATTTTTGCCTGAGCTGCCTTTGGTGGGCAATGGTTAAACTGGTCTAAAACAATTTAATGTATATTTTATATGTCTTCAAATGCCATATCATTGTTTGTTCTTGTGATGATTGCATTTACCCATGTTGTTGTATCTGCAACATATTTTGTGTTTAGCTTTATAAAACCAATGGACTGAGATTACTGAACAACTGGCAAAAAATAGTGTTTGAATTCTTCAAGTTAAGTTTGCATAAATATTTAATCCTCATCCTTTTAATACAGAAGTTTCAAGAACTGCTTCATGTTATCTTAACAGATCGGCTGAAGAGAACAAGGAAAATAATTTTAACTCCATTTATAAGAAGAGCTGAGACAGTTTTGTCCCATGTGCATTCTGCAACTCTGTGGTAAAGCTAAGACCTGCTGTTAAGTCTCCAGTATCTTTAACCTTTGAATTTAAGTAGAAAGAGTTTGCAGAAGTTTGTAAATGACATTAAGACAAAGTATCCCATTCCAGATTTTGGTAAATCCCAAATGTAGGATAGAACACAGGGATTCCTGAGTTCAAAAGCCTCACATTACAGTATGCACTCCTACCACCAATTAAGCAGTCAATAGGGCAAGCTTATCTTTGAACAAACGGCTTTCTTCCTTCGCAGCACAAAAATAAATTGAAAAAACTGGAAGCCTGACGCAGCATTTTAAAATTTAATGGAGCAGGCAAAGGTATTTCTCTACCCAGTATAAGAGTGTGTGTGTGCATGCTCACACTTTGCAAATGCTCAGGCCTACAAAAGTCAACTGTGAGGTACAGAGATATGTGGTTTGCTACAGGGAAAGACTCCCTCCAACACAGGCAGTTAAGAGCTGAGCTGCAAAAGCCGTTTCCCCTTTTCCCTAGTTCGCTGTAATCCTAACAATCCACTTCCTAGAGTTCCCCGAACAAGGTGATCCGATCCGAAGCAGAAAACCTCCCTTAAACAAAAGGGGAAACCTGGGAGGAAGCCAGGATGTCGGAAGATAGTGAACGGGAGAGAGCGCCAGCAGCACATGGCAAGTCGCAGACCATGTGCCTTACAGTTCCTGGAGGACGGCGGCTCCATTCCCCCGGGGGGATCGTGGATCAACCAAATCTTACCCTTCCCCTCTCTCAAAATAACCAGAACACATAAATTTATTTGTGTGTTTTTTTAATGCACGTGATTGTTTTTTTCTTAACGAGCTTTTCACGCTCGGGGAAAAAAACAAAACACCCCAATGGCGGGCAGTGGACTAAAATTAGCCCTTAAAACTCTTTCTAGAGATTCCAAGTTGACCGAGGCAAGAAAGGAGAAAGGAAAGTACACCATGTGCCGGGCGGCTCTCCCAGCTTACCTATCAAGGGCAACGGCTCTCGGGGGAGGGAGTGGAAGTATCCCACGTCCCTCAAAATCGGGTTTTTTTGGGGGGGGGGGACAAGTCGCTCCAAGTCCAGAGTTTTTTTCCCTCACCCCTCCCCTCCCCTAACAAGAGTTCAACTTCAACCCAGAGTAGGAACCGGGAGGGGGGGGAAAACCCCCCCACCCCCATATTTCACCCCAAGCCTTGACGACCGACCAGCCACCACACACACACTCATTTTACTAGGCAATATTATATATACACCCCACACCAGGGAGCGAAGAACAGATAACACCCCCCCCAACCAGGGCCGCCCCAGCAAACCTGCCCTGTCTGACAGCTCGCCTCGTCACCCCCCGCCCCGGAGGGCTCCACAGGCAGCCAGGCGCCCGACGCCCAGGCCCCAGGCCCGCCCCCTCAAGCCCCCGGCTCCCGCCGCCGGGCCATACTCACGGTTGGCTATTTCTCCCCCCATCTTGTACTTGTTCACGACCACGTCTTCCGCGATCGTCAGCTCGGCCGCCTCCTCCTCGCCCGACATGGTCGGACTGAGCCGTCGCCGCCGCCGCCGCGGCGCGCCTTCTTCTTCTTCTTCTTCTCCTCACAGACGACGACGACACCGCCCGGCCTCGAGCCCTCCCTGCCGTGTGCCCAGGTCGTTGTCGTTCAAGCCGCCGCCGCCGCCGCCTCAGTAAAGAAGACCGACTGCGAGACAGGCTGCAAGAGGAGAGGGAGAGAGCGAGCGAGCGAGCGCGCGGGCTTTGCGCGCGGCACGCTGGGAAGCGAGTCCGCCTCCGAGGACTACAACTCCCGTCAGGGTCCAGGCCCAGCCAGGCTTCGGGCGCAGCGTGAGGTACGACGGGAAAGCTGAACCCCGCGCGCGCCCTTCTTTTAAGTGGCGTCACCTAATGGCCAGAGGGGGAATTGCGGGCAGCTTGTTGCGCCTTCGCCCGCCGCTCATGTGGTGACTGACGTTCGTTCTAGGTCGTCTTCCTGTCCATATATTAGCGCCGCCTGGAAGTTGTAGTTTGGGCGTGCACGTGTATTCAGTTTTGCTGCATATCCGAACCGTCCTTGGGGCGTTGAGATTAAACTTTTTGGGTTCTGTCCTCAGACTGTAAACTGTTGTCTCCACTCCTACATACTTTATTCTTTTTGAACATTCACTCTTTGTCATGCTTTGTTTTCTCTGAAAGTCTTAAAATACCCTGCCCCTTAAACTTTTCCCGAAATATGATTTCCTGTGAGTTCTAAACCTGACAGAATTAGATGCCCGTAATCTAATACAATACTTAGCTAAGGCATTGCTAGAGCTGAACCGAGTGCTCCTTATTACTTTAGAAGTCTCTGGGTGCATTCACAAGTGACTGTAATGTAATGTAGTCAGATATGTGTCTAACTTATTCTGGTGTTCTTAGGAACACCAGCCTATCCTTCAAAGAATTTGCAGTCAGGCCTGCATTTTATGTAACCTGTGTTTCCTGTTAACTTATTTTACTCAGTGATAGTGACAAGAACATGATCAGGCTGCCTTCCACCGCTTGGCATTAATTCATTTACTATTTATTTTGCTGACTTTTTTTTATCAAGGGAGGAATACACTAGCTTGATCTAGCATAATGTGTACTTAATAAAATCATACTGGTGGCTAATATTCCATGTCTGATGATTGCAACTTTTTTTATATATAACTCAGACTCATCTCTTCCCATGTCCAAAGGTCAAGCATGCAGCCTGATTCTATACTTGTAAATAAGTAATAATAACAATAATAATGGGATGCGGATGGCGCTGTGGGCCACATGACCCGGAAGCTGTCTGCGGACAAACGCCGGCTCCCTCGGCCCATAGAGCGAGATGAGCGCCGCAACCCGAGTCGGTCACAACTGGACCTAATGGTCAGGGGTCCCTTTACCTTTAATAAATAATAATAATAATAATAATAATAATAATAATAATAATAAATTATTTATACCCCACCCATCTGGCTGGGGTTCCCCAACCACTCTGGGTGACTTCCAACAAAATATTAAAATACAGTAGTCCATCAAACAGTAAAAGCTTCCCTAAACAGGGCTGCCTTCAGATGTCTTCTAAAAATCTGATAGTTGTTGTTCTCTTTGACATCTGGTGGGAGGACATTCCATAGGGCAGGTGCCACTACCGAGAAGGCCCTCTGCCTGGTTCCCTGTAACTTGGCTTTTCGCAGTGAGGGAACTGCCAGAAGGCCCTTGGTGCTGGACCTCAGTGTCTGGGTAGAATGATGGGGATGGAAATGCTCCTTCAGGTATATTGGACCGAGGCCATTTAGAGCTTTAAAGGTCAGCACCAACACTTTGAATAGTGCTTGGAATCGTACTGGGAGCCAATGTAGGACTTTCAAGACCGGTGTTATGTGGTCTCGGCGGCCGCTCCCAGTCACTAGTCTAGCTGCCGCATTCTGGATTAGTTGTAGTTTCCGGGTCACCTTCAAAGGTAGCCCCATGTAGAGCACATTGCAGTAGTCATAGCGAGAGATAACCAGAGCATGCACCACTCTGGTGAGACAGTCCATGGGCAGATATGGTCTCAGCCTGCATACCAGATGGATCTGGTAAACAGCTGCCCTGGACACAGAATTGACCTGCGCCTCCATGGACAGCTGTGAATCCAAAATGACTCCCAAGCTGTGCACCTGGTCCTTCAGGGGCACAGTTACCCCATTAAGGACCAGGGAGTCCCCCACCCCTGCCCACCCTCTGTCCCCCCAAAACAGTACTTCTGTCTTGTCAGGATTCAACCTCAATCTGTAAGTGTATTCAGGGGTTTATAGCTAAGAAAACATGCATAGGATTGTATCCTCAATGTGGCTTTAATAGCCATAAAGGTCTTTCCCTCATTTCCAGGATCATCACAGTTTCCCACAAGGTTGACTCAGACAGTACAATAATTAATTACATTTGATCCGTTAATTTCTCCACAAGCCTTGATGGAGGGAGTGAAGGTCACCAGGCCAAGCGGACCCAAATTATTTCCTTTATAAGTGACTTCATACAGCAATAGCATTTCTTAAGGATTTACAACACCATACAGAATTTTACAGATTTTACATTTTACAGATGGGGAACTTCTTTGAGGCCAACCAGTGTCATAGCCATGAGTAAACAGGGATTTGAATCAAGGGCTCCCAAACCCAACTGCAGCCCAATATATTTTGCTAGGGGAGTCAAGAGACAAAAGGACGACACCATCTCCCTATTGCATGAACAGAAGCCAACTGGACTGGCAGCTGAATCTTAATGCAACACTGACAACTTGACAGCATCCTCCAACACACCAGATGCAGCAAGCTAATTTAGGGGGCTCAGGAGGAGCAACATATCTGCCCCCCCATATTTGCTGCCTGGGGTGGTCACCTTCCTCTGTTTATTCGTAGGGCATCCAAGCGCTCTGTTCAGTTTGCTTTCACCGGATCCTGCTTCCATTCTTCTCTGACCAAGAAGGACACACCAAGTCCCTTTTGATGGAGAGTTGGGCTGAAAAGGCCTACCTCAATTTTTTCCTGTAACAGTTGCAATGTCCTGTCATGTGCAAACCCTTCCCACCTAATTCCAGCTGGTTGTGGGAACTCTGTACATTCTTCTGTTTACTGAATAATATATTTTGAGTTAAGCTCTGGCTCAAGCCCTTGACTTGTTTCTGGTGGTCCTATTGATTTGGAGGACTCCTCCATCTCTGTCAAGAGAAGGGTGCCTGTACAGGCTTTCCTTCTCTTGTTGGCAGCAGAGGGAAGGAGGTGCTCACACAAACCTGGGGCAAAAATGTGCAGATCTGGCACTGATGTGGTTTGATAGCACACAGTTGAGTCTGTGCCTAAGTTTCTGTTCTTAGACGACTAACTTGTCCCCGGCGAATTCAGCACATTGTTTGCAGCAGTGGCTAGCTCAATACCTTGAGAAACCCTAAAAGCAGCAGGGTATGAGGAGACACACTCCCCCTTATTATATGTATGGTGTTTCTGTTTAAAATTTTGTGGCTGGCCATGCCCCACAGCTGCCATTTTGTGAATGGTTGGATTCCCAACAGCAGCCATTTTGTGGTGGCTCCTGTCAAAATTCCAAATGTGTCCACAGGGGCAAAACTTTAGGGACTTTTGCACTACTGATTTTTATCCATCATTGTAGTCAGACATTAAAAATGCACTTATAATGTCACATTTTTTTATTTAGTATTCAAGCACACACAAACTTTTATTTTTTTGAGGTCTTCAGTAACAGATAGAGCCTCTGTCAGCAAAAACTGGGTCATTCTAGCTTAGAAGGTAATTCATATTCAACACTTGCCCTGCAAGGAAAAGAGGTCTGAACTCTAGCCCTAAAAACATACCTGTACCTGTTGCCACAAAGCTTATGAGGAACTTCCTTCAAAAAAGCTCAACGACGTCCACATTCAGTAGATAAGATGATGAAGAGTCTATCCACAAACTAGTTTAACCATTATTCCTCTCTTCACTTGAGAAAGACGTTGGGAATTGTAGTTTGGCAGGGAAGCACTTTAAATTATAACCAGCACTAAAACTACAATTATAATCAGCACCAAATGACAATTCTCAGTATTCTCTGAGGAAATAAAACCAATGTTGTGAAGCTGTGGGCCTTCAGAGAGAACTTCAGCGTGGACTGAGTGTGTCAGGCATTAAAGTAAATAAAATAAAATTAAAAAATTGCCTTCTGCTCTGACAGGCAACCACACAGAGCTTTTCCTAAAAAATGAAAGTGCTGAAAGCACTGCCTCCAGACAGGTTACGTTTGAAATAACTAAAAAAGGTTTGTTATGGAGCCAACTTTACTCTGTATATTAGCAAGCTAAGGTGTTTTTTTTAAATGAAAAAAAATTGGCCCGAGGAAGGTTTATGTTACAACTGATGCCAGAGTATCTTATTATATATATAATTTTCTAACACTTAGGTTTGCCAGATTTGATTTTTTTTTTTAATGGCCTTGCTCCTGTGGCTTTGACAGCAGCCTGATGTACACAAACTAAGCATCTTTTCTATATCACTTTGGCTGCCATTCTATCCCTTCCTGCTAGGAAGTCTTATTTAACTCAGATAAGGCTTATTTCTCCATGGCAGAAAATGCTGCTTCTACTCACTTTCAGTGTCTGAAGCTGCTGCTAAAGAGACAGGAATGGGGCCAGAAAAAAATGTGGAAACCTTATGCCGTTTCCATGAGCATCTGTTGCCTGCTAGATTCAGGTTTCTTAGTAAACATTCGATTTGGGCACAGAAAGCAGTATCAAATAAACCCATCTGAGACATCTCTCCTTATGACCGTGATCAAGGCCCATCACCTTCCTTCCAATTTGCTTACATCTTGGGAACAGGAGTTCTCCGGTGGCCTAGCTAATGGCAATAGCGGTGTCTCGATTTGTTTGTTTTTTTAAAACACTGCTATTACTGCTTGTTAAATGATAGCTGGGGCATTGCAGAAAGCAATTTAAAGTGTGTAAACATCTGAATTCCTTCCAGTTTTTGGTGTTGTTGTTTTTTTTTAGAGAGGGAAAAAAACCTTCATGTCACCAGTTTCAAAGCATGGCATAAAACCAAAACAACCCAACATGACATTTATGACAGACAATATACACATCAAGATTTGGGGACAAAAAAAATAAAATGTGACACTTTTACTCTACAAATACAAAGACGCAAACAAAAAACACTCAAGCTACGTCAGTCCAATGGGGTTGAGTCAATGCTTTTTGTTTCTTGTGCATCATCGTGTGTAACAATTGGCGTTTGTTAGTTTAATTGTCCCAGTGTTCCTTAGTTTGGCTGTTATCCTCAACCAATTCATATCACAGATGTCTCACTGATGAGAAGAGCAACAAAAATTGAGGTAAATAATGGAGCTGAAATCTCCATCTTATAACCTTGTCCACAGAGTTTGTTGTGCTTTAACTCTGGTTTTTCCACCTCCTCTGTTTGACTATGGTTCAAACCTTTCTCAGGGTTGAGCCCATTAGAACAAAATATGTCTCTTCCACATTCAAAACATGGAGATGGAAAGGGAAATGTGTCCCCTTTGTTGTC